CAGCCAGCCATGCTGTTCTGGCTTTTATGTCAACCTGACATAAGCTAAAGTCATCCGAGAGAACAGAAATTTCAATGAAGAAAACACTTCAGGAAAGGAAGACAAACCTTTTCCTCTTCTTTGGTCATGGTGTTTTCTCACAGCAACTGTATCTACAAAGGACGTGGGCTCAGCCAATGTAATCCTACTACATATACTGCTCATTAGTTTTTTTTTCTCTCTAACTAGACTCTTAAGTTATTAAAAACTGCCCTCATGAAAAAGGAACCAATTACGATGAAGATGGTGCTTTGCTTTCGAGCCAAAGATTTGAAAAGTTTCTCTAACTTCGGCGTATTTTCAATTTGGATAGTAAACAGCTGTGGTGTCTTGACACTTGGTCACCTAACTGGTCATGCATGAGAATGGGCAGTTTGGGACAGGCAACATTCACAGCCCTGGAGATGGACTAGCTAAGCTGTGATTAGACCCAAGGCCTTCTCTGGTGTAGAGAAACTTAATTCCAAACTGGTTGTTAGCAAGTTTGCAGTGATTTGGAAAATGTTATTTAAAACTACTGGACAGTGAAGCATTTTCCTCTTTGTCCTGTAGATCAGTCCTATTTATGCCTAGGACCCCTATGTTTTTCATGGCTGAGAATCTGCAGTCAATTGTCCCCTCCTGGGGATTCCTCTACACGTTAGAGCAGTCTCTGGACAGGCAATGCAGGGCTCAAACTGTAACCTTTTTTTTTCCTCCTTCATATCCCAATAGGGGACTGCAGCAGTTCAGGTATGTGCTCCTCCTGTTTCTGCAGGAGACAAGCACCTGTGTCAGGCAGGGATCTGCTGTACTGCTGGCTGGATCTGAAACACCTGGCTGTGGCACTGCTGAGAAATCAGCCAGGTCTACAAATAGCCATCAGTGCTGTGTAGATAGCAGAGACCAGGAATCTTACTACGTAATCTCACACACTAAGAGCCCTCCCAAGGAACAGTGCAGAGCCTCAGACAGAGGTTGAAATTCGGATGGCTCTCCAATGTCTTTCATTCTTCCTCTGCTAGTTCTTTCTGAGTCTCAGTTCATCTGTCAAAATGAGGCCAATTTGACTTCCTAAGTTTGTTTCTGCTTAGTCACTCAAGGGTCTCATCTACCAGCTACAATGGGGGGAATGCACGCCAGAGCTGCCAAGGGCCTGCCCTGGAGAAGGGACGTTTGTGGGGAAAACTGAAAGACACGGGCAGTTTCAGCATGTGCCTTTCTACCTGGGCCTCCTCCCCACAAGCTGCCTGGCTCATTCGTTCACAGAACTTGAGCATGAAGCAGTCTCTTACCTTAGCAACCTCAGCCTTCTCCCTCCACCAAGTGGAAACCTACCCTCTGAGAGGAACTAGTCAGCCCCTAGAGGCTCATTCAACCCATTTCTCTCACCTGCACTGGTAAATCTGAGAGGTGACTTAAGGATAGAGGAGTGACCCTCTATCTACCCTTTACAAGAGATTTCAAGTGATCAGTGTTTTTTGTTTTTTGAAATCTACAGCATCATGCAAAACCAACATTAGAGTTATTTTCTTTGGGGGGTGGGGGCAGACATTGCCCTGCTCTCTAGAGTCACACTATCCTGAAGACCTAAGCCAGACAGAATCTTAAACCCAACAACCAGCCAGAGCAGAGGCCAGGAACAGAGCTAAGTCTTTAGTGTATTCTCAACTACAATGCCCTCCACCTCCACAAGCTACAACTTAGTTGCAAGAGTGACACTAAACTGAAATTCATATGCTAGATTAATGGTAAAAAATAAGTAACGGCAGACAGGTAGAGTCTTTCCTTGAGCACAAAGATGGTATTGTTTTGCAGTCTAGCTGAGTCCTGGTCTTCCTAAAGCCAACATTGAGGTCCAGAAACATGGGACACCTACCTCCAGTTAATACTTGTTTTCTGTCAAAGACCTGCTACTTTCACCAGAGGACAGAGATGTGCTGAGATGTCCAGGACCACTCCCTAGTGTGTGCTACATGCATTTATGTGTAAGACTTGGGACAGGGGACTAAGAACCGTAACAGAGACCAGGACACCAAAAGTGAGCAGCACTTATTGTCTACAAGGCAGTTTTGAATCTACCACGACGGACAGGAGAATGCTTCTGCTTTTCTAGGCCAGTCTTGCTCACTGGTGAGCAGTCAAGGTTTAAACAGAACAGCTCATCTCCATAAAGAAGACACAACTTGCCACAATAGCATCCGGGGTCACCCCCTAGGTTGCTAGCTCTGACAATTATGATGGGAAAAATCTAGTGTGATAGTTACGGGGTGTCTCTGGAAGATCTTGATGCAAATGTGACACCCCAGCTAACTTAAATCTGACCTTGAGAAAACTCCCTAACAGTCTCCAGCCAGTCTCCTCTCTAAAATAGGCATTCTGGCTCAAGTTGATTGTGAAAGTAACTTCCCAGTTTACAAAAGGTAATGAATATGCCCTGCCCTGCCCTGCCACTGTTTTCCCGTTGTCCTAGAACATGCCAGGCACCAGGCACACTAGGAAAACAGTCTACTACTGAACTATACCTCCACTCTTCTCCCTAAAGCCTGCCCCTCTGCTGGTTCCCTTGGCTCAAGTTCATACATCTTAAACCTCAACTAGGATTTAAGACGCAGGAAACAAATGCCATCAGCAGACAGGTAATTTATCATTTAAACAGCTAACCGTCTATATCTGGAGGCAAGAGTCTTCAGGAAGAAACTATGGTTAAATGAGACCCTATGGGTGGAGCCTATGACTGTTCTCTCTCTGCTGTAAGAGCATGGTGAAATTGGCTATCTGAAAGCCAGAATCCAACTGTGCTGGCTCCGTGATCTTGGACTTCCCATTTTCAAAGCTGTGAGAACCATTCTCCATCACTGATACTCAGTCTACACGAATCTGTTACGGCAGCAGTACTTTGTGGAGTCATCGCCAGAAGGGGATAACTACACCCTAATTGAGCTCTGGGCCTGCAACGTAACAGAACACTTAAAGATCCCAGTCTTGTCCTAACCAAGTCTAACCTCCTGGTTACTAGAAGATAAACCTTAATACTGGGAGGCCAGGCATGGTAGGTAGCACATGCCAGTAATCTTACGTGTGGCACAAAGGCCAGGAGTTTAAACAGGCGTTTAAGCCCATCCTCAACTACAAGGTACACAAAACTAGTCTGGGCCATATGAGACCCCCAAATAAAAACATCAAGAAAAAAATTAACACCCACACTTCCACTAGATGGCTGCACATTCTTTCCCTTACCCTTTCTCTGAAGCTCTTGCCAAGGATCACACCATTTGTGCCTTTGGAATCTGTCAGCCACCAGCACACTCACAATTCAGGAATCGGCACTGCTCTCTCGGGACAATAAATGTAGAGTATCTGTCTCTCGATGCCAATTGTCTAACTGTCCCCAAAGCTCCAGTTATTTCCTAAACCTTCATTATGCCACTGAATAATTTGTTGAGAATTTGTTGACAGAGGAAACCAGTTCAAGAGGCCACTGTAAGAACAATCTGGTCACAGCCTCCCTGTGTGTGGTGGTGGTGGTGGTGGTGGTGGTGGTGGAGGAGGAGGAGCTGGACAGTTTGAGACTTAAGTAAATGCTTAGAGCCCAAATCTGTCCAGCACTGGTAGGAAGCATGTCTGGGTAAAGAACAATGACCAGTGTGTCCTTAGAGCCCAAATCTGTCCAGCACTGGTAGGAAGCATGTCTGGGTAAAGAACAATGACCAGTGTGTGTGTGTGCCTGTACACAGTGGCATAGAGGGTGCTAAACACGAGCTACATTCATTGAGCCAGAAAGACCTTCATACTGCACATAACTGATACATTTGCAATGAATGTTCAGAGCATCAAATTTTAATTGTCACTTCCCCAAAGTCAACACTAATTCCAACAGCTGCAAGATAACCTATTTGAATCTAGTATGCATGTTACTCACACAACCCCTTCTTGTATTATGGCTTAGCTGCAGTTCTTGGTTAAGAAACCAAGATTCACCATGTTTCCTGCATCCATAGACAAAGCAGCACTTTAGTCTGGACTGAGTACTCCTCCTTCAGGAATGTCAGTGATCCTAACCCTATCCCTAACCCAAGAGTCTGTGTATAACAGCCAATCCAACAGGGTCTCGGGTTCCTTTCTTCCTGCTCTTGGCCCTGTGCTCTAGGTGTTAACCCCAGGTTGGGGTGTCAGCCACCTCCTGGGCATTGTGTATATAACAGTGTCATCTGTCTTTCTTAGCTGTTTCCTATTGCTAAACTGTAAGGGGCTCTTTCCTGGTGTACAATCTGCATGTTATTTATCCATTTTTTCTGAGATTTCCCTCTATGACCACTCATGCTATCGTATTGCGATGTACATGGCTTCTGTACTGCTGAAATCAGTGACTGCTTAGGGATCAATAGCCAGACATAATGTATTAAAACCAATCTTTTTAAAGACTGATCAGGAAGAGATCGAATACTACTTATTCGCAGTTTGGACTACAAGCTTGCTATTCTAAATTATAAATCAAACGACCCACTGACAGTTTCAACTTTTATAGACTTCACAATGCAAATTTCAACTAAATTGTTTCTTAGGATAGGAAGAAACGATTATAGCAAGGTTTCTTTATCAAAGTTCTTACAATTCCTTTTTTGGAGGTCAGGGAATCACTTAACCTGAGATCAGAAACGGTTTAATTTCTTCCTTTATATTTGTCTCAATATTACATGAAATACATTCAGCCCTATTTTGGGGAGTCTCCTAGAAGCATAAATGAACTGCCATTATGACTCTTTGGTATTCTACACAAAATGACAACTCTGTACTACAAAAGCAAGGCATTGCTAAAAGGCAGTCTCCAGTTTTGTTGGAGTTGGCTTGGGAGATGTGCCCTTTGGGTAACTCCCAAACACAAGGAAGAAAAGAAAATCATTTTTTAAAACACTGAAAAGAAACTAACTTAGCATAATTATTACTTCAATATCACCTAAAAGACAAGGTAAGATTCTAAGTCCACAAACTGTAATATAGAATTTAATTTTATCTTTATGAAGTAAGTACTCTGAAATCAAAGACGATGATACATGCATCAGGCACATCTCACAGAAGACATTTACAATGGTTTACATTTCCTTTTTATTTATTCCTCGAAACTGCTCGTATTGCAGATTTTTCATGGATGAAGTATGGAATTGAGCAGATTCTTTTTTCTACAAAATTATGGTATAAACTTGCTCAATTTTCTATCTTATTGCTAATAACCCTTACAGGCGCACAGTTTGTAAAGTAAACCCCTTAAGGACTGAATGTGTAGAGCATGCTGCAAGGTACAAGAAATAAGCTAAAACTGAGCTTTTACATAGACCTACGTTGGGAGCAACACAGTACTGAATGCTGGCAAACAATTATCACGACACAGGGAGAAATTAATAGGTGACACATCTCAGTCCTGAAAGGGTTAAGTAAAAACCCTAATATATTACTGTTTCTAACCATCCATCCCGAGTTACAGTGCTTGGAAAATCAATCAAAAGTGACACAGAAAAATCACGTTTGTTCAGTACTCACCAGAAACACAGCTGCTTTGGAAAACAATGTCCATTAACTTGACTAATAATCAAATAGCATTTCTTTCAAATAGGAATTCCCCCCGCCAACAGATTTCTTGATTAAATTACTAGTTGGGTTAATAAAAAATGACATTAGAATTTCTCTGTGGCTGGACAGCCTGACCAGTTTCTCTAAAGACAAAAGCAGTGGTGGCATCCCGCCATACCTGGCATCCCAGCACCTGGAGGCTAAGGCAGGAAAGTTTAAGAATGCCCTGAGGGGCTACATGGGTGAGACCCTTGTCTCATGAAAAAAACTAACAAAAAGCCTTAGCAAATGTGCTTGAGGCCCTGGATTTGACCCCAGCACCACACAAAAAAGAAAGATACAAAACCAACAAAGATGATGGCAGAGAGGGACAGATGGTTCCACTAGTTAACTGTACATGAGGAAGTTGTCCCAGCTTAAGAGCGGTCATCATCAAGTTCAAAATCCCACTAGTGCTCGGCTCTGCAATCTGGAAAAGGCATCCCACATTTTCAGTTTTCAGCCTGCCTTCCAATCTCTTGACAAATTCAAGGAAATTAAAAAAAATACATGCTGGGTCTCAGGTTCTGCATCTAGGCATGTTTTGAGAAGCTGTGCGGACTCATTCTAACAGAATGAGAGCACAAACCCACACACTGCAACTGAAGAAATCCCGTCCTAAGAAGTCTTCATGAGGGTAAACGACCAGCATCTGTAACAGCATCATCTGGGAGGAAACATTCTGAATAAATGGGGGACAAGACTCCTCTACATCATATATTGAAAATGATTTACAAATCCATAAAAAGGACTTTTAATAGAAGCAGTCGACAGAAGAACTATCAATAACATGGTAAAACAGACGTATCAATTCACTCTATTGTGTGGTAGGACTGGCATAGAACCATACGAAAGATGCCTTTATTGTTACATTCTTGGACTTTGTTAAAAAAAAAAAAAAAAAAAAAAGAAAGAAAACAGGAAAACGACTTATAATCTAGTTATTTCAATTCTTATTAAAATAAACGAAAGAACCGAAATAAGATATAAACATTTTAAAAAGTCAAAGTTCATTTTAATAAAGCCATGAACTTGGTTACTGTAAGCTACAAAGCTGGGTAAGGAATAGCTTGTTCTTCAAAAGCATCTCATCCGTTCTCAGTGAACTGAATGGTTTCTTAACTGAATCCCAAATCTAAGAAGCGGAGAGACGTGTGACCTGGGAAAGCACTGAGACGCTTCAGCCTGCAGCGTCCCGATCCCACAGCAACTGAGGGGTGGAGCTTGGAAGGAAACAGGTCTGAAGGAAAGCTGACAACAGTTACTGCAAAGACAGCTAAGGCCACAGTGAGCTCTGCCCTTGACCACGGAAGCAGAAGGAAGGTATGAGGCAGGGGAGGAGACGGACTGCGGCAGCTCTGAAGGGAAAGGGCTACAATGGCTAGAACAGCAGAGCCTGGGGTGATGAAGAAGGCTGTCGGTAAGAGAGCCACAGCAACAGATGTAACCAGCACGTTCTCCTAGGTGGCCTTCTCCTTGGAAAACCAAGGAGGGGCAGTTTAAAGACGTTCAGAGTGGCATTGACAGTGAGTCTCCAGAAAACAGTGAGTGGCAAAGCCGCAGGAATGGAAAACAGTGCTCCTGACAAAGGACTCCTAACACGTCTACATGAACTTTCAGAAGTCCAGGGAGCCAGAGACACCGAAAATGCCATACAAGTTACAGTTGCATCAGGAGGTCCTTGTGGCTCCTGTTTTAAGGGACAGTGAAAGCTTACCACAATCTAGAGGTAGTTCTTACTCTATCAAGGAGGATGGCACCACTAGACTGTGTCCTTTAACATCACACACGTGGTTCCTTACTCAATGGAGCCCAGGGAGTCTGCTGCAATTCCCAAGAAACTGGACAAGGGTTACCGAAGTGCAGGAATGGAAGCAGATAAAACTGGCAATATCAGCACACAGGGCTGACACACAGGCCTGAGTGCAACCCAAAGTTAACAGAAAAGAAAAAAAATGGACACAACATTTCTACTGGAGGAAAAACAAACAAAGGGCAAAAGGGGAAATGGAAATATAAGTTACATTTGTATTTTTATAAACTTACAACTATCTGTTTCTAAGGTACTGTCTTCTGGCTATTTTCTTTAGTTCGGTTTATTTAGTTATCATCTAATAAAAGCCATCTTGTGATCTTACGTTTAGAATTATAATGATGTTCTGGCCTAGGCTAAAAAAGGAAAATCAAGTACAATAAAGTATCTTGCAGAGACTTTCCTCATTTTACCCTAAGGGCACCATCTTGGCAGCAAATAATTCTCATGATATTTTTTGTCATTTGCCAACAAGGTGGGAAACACCCTGTTAAATGTAATCACTGGGAACATTCCAAGTTAAAGATAAAATGTTTAACTTACACATAATACACGTTATGTACAAGATTGGGGAGGAAGGGAACCTGAACAAACCTGGAACACAGATAAACTGATGGATAGGCAAAGAGGCACAAACCCTTCAAATGGTGATGTTCTCTGCCATTAACTCAGAAGGACTAAACAGCCACATTGAACTCCACATAAATGTTAGACTCTCTTGGATTACCACTATAAATACATTTTAAAAAAAAGGAAAACAGAAATAACTACCAACAGTATCTGAGGATAGACTAAGTTAACATACATTGCATGTATTGCAGGCAAGGCAGAGGCATTTTTTAAAGCTTTTGCACAGACTTCATATAATCTTAAAAAAAAGTATGCAGGCCTTTACAAAATTTGACTTGCTGAAATCAAAATAATTCTAACTTATGAAAAAGTCATAAGACTTCAGCTTAAAAAAAGTTCCAGCCTTAGACCAAAAGAACCTGGAAGTGTTCGGTACTCAGATTGAACAAGCATGGTCAGGCTTGAACCTAAATGTACTTTGAGCCCAAAGCTCAAGGGGCGGAGAGTGCAACCTACTGGTGACAAGGTGTACTACATACCGTGATAGAAAAAAGGCATGGTGAAAATGTACCTTTCACTAAAGCTTCTGCAAGTCCCTTGGTCCATAGAAACTATGTTAGATGCGTGTCTTCTAGCTTAACCTGTACTCTAGCCACATATTCATTTCTTGACCATTTAATCAAAACCAACCAAAAAACAACCAAAAAGGGGTGTGTATGTGTGTGTGAGAGACAGCTGAAAACCTTGATTTCCAACACTTTGTACATTTTGATGTTTTTCATTTTACTGTGGCTTCTGCATTTCACATCAGCACTTGCAGGTAATGGGGTTTGGGATAGATCACCTGGTATGAAAAGTTTTCCCAAGAAACCACAAAAGATTGTTCATTTTATCCTTGCCTTTCTTTTTTTTCTGTTTTTCTTTTTTCTTTTTTTGTCAACTTTTTGCCGCATTCAAGTCAGTTTAAGTCCTAGCAAAAAGACGGCTGTTAGGACACCACGGTTGCTGTGGACGATGTGACACTGGTAGAATTTGTGCTGGCGTTCGTGTAATTCCCCTCGCTGTTTGTGTTGGATTCGTTGGTGGGCACTTGGCTTGAGTTGGCTCTGAGGATTGCTCCTGCTGCACTGCAGTGTGGCCTTGGCCCTGGTTCTGGTGTGTAGGTAAAGGTAAGGCTGGTGGAATAAATGATTCCATCATTACGGACCAAAGTTACTGGAACCTGGACTGGCTGCCGGACCCATCTCCAACCTTCTCGGAATGCAGAAATGTCTGGGACCACACAGAGCATGCTCTCCCCACATCTGAGGAAGAAACACACACCACTTAGAAGCATTTTCAACGCAAAGAACAGTTCTACGTTGCCTACACCCTCCCAACCCTTGGGTGACAGAACAGGTTCTATCAGTACCTGTACATTGTTTCGGCTTCTACATCCCCAAACCACACTCGTAAATTTGGAGTGAAGTTCTGTCCTGTAAGTTCAAGCATCGCTACGTCCCCGCCGCCATTCAACTGCAATTCAGAGAAACCACAACGTTGAGACAGCTCTTCACTCTCCACTAAAGAACACAGCTTGGGTTATATGTGCTTTCATTTTCATGAAGTTCAGATTTATAAAACAATTCTGTTAAATGACATACTTCAAAGCCAGCTTAAACTATTTCAAGATAGCATTCATTGTGATTCAAACGTTCTTCCATGTAAACATACTGCTGCTGTTTTTATTTCCTATAATAGTACATGCAGTAAGACCCCCAAATCCTAACACTTACAGAAAAGTCAGTACCACAGTGGAATAAGTTTATGGCAGGTGATAGCTAGAACAGCAGTAAAGGCTGAAGCCGCCTGTGACTTAGGAGTCTCACCTGAAGACTTTCTACGACAGGCACGGGAGTGACTGGGGCAAGGACGGGGCCCATTCCCTCATAGAATGTATACTCTGCCTTATCTGTGCTAATGATTGTCCACGAAGCGCCATCATTGATCATTTCTTTATTTGGTTCTTTCGGACATGGAGTGGCCTTAAGAAAAACAAATGTCCATATATTGAGTTTTGTATACACAGCAATATAAGAGAATTTACCAAGTAACATTGACAGACTTGACTTAAGGAGAGAATTCAGAAAGAAAAACTGAGAACATCCTAATACACTTAATCCCTACATCCCTAAATGAATGTAGACAGAATGTTAATATGAAGCCCCACAGGCTGTAGTTTTTGTTACAACACAAACATTTCAGTGGTACACTAAGTAATGAGTCACCTGTTAGCAATCATTCAAGTGTGTCCCATTACTATATAATTTCTTTTTCTTTCATTTCTTTTTCTTTTGGATTTTCAAGACGGGGTTTCACTGTGTAGCCCTAGCTGTCCTAGAATTCTCTCTGTAGACCAAGCTGGCCTCGAACTCAGAGGTCCACCTGACTCTGCCTCCCAAGAGCTGGGATTAAAGGTGTGCACCACCACCATGTGGCTCATTACTATTTAATTTCATTATCAGATCAGCACCTGTGATGCAAAATGCAAGTGGACTCCCAAAGAAAGGGAATCGTGGGAGATCCTTGAGCTTGCAAAACTATTAGGAGCTTTGGCAGGAGGAAACAAAGTCTGAACTGGCAATCCCAAACCCTGACCTGGGACCCAGGACACTCATTAGTGTGGTACGGAGCCATGTCTCTGCAACAGTGGTTTAAAGGGGAGTTCAGCATGAAACCATAGTTATCCTGTTAGAGTATCAATCCATGTCCTAGGTGTCCTCTTGAACATTTCTCAGTAAATGGAATTGAATATTAGCACTTCAATCGTGTTAGTGTTACTACTGGGGAGCCCCACTGAAAAGCGGAGAAGATTCGAACCCTCTTGTTGAATGCTTTTTCTACACAGTGTGTGTGTTTCTATACATCACTTTGGAGGATTCACTGAACACCAGTGCTCTACTATTAGATATTTTGAGGCTCTCTGAATGCCAGATTTAGAATCTAAGAATACTCTGTTGCTTTTGAGTTATTGAGAGAGGATCATATATGCATGCTTTAGAGTAGTCTAAGGACCAATGACCTAAGATATACATATGAACCCGATTTCTTATATGTGGACGTAATTATCAGCCACTAGGAAGTATGTCTCTAAACTATCACTTCACTAGTTCTTCAGCACATTTTAATTGGTCGTTACTGATCTGCAAGGCTGGGGACTGAACACAGTGCTGTACAGGTACTTGTCACTGAGCAGCACCCCAATCTTATGTGTATAGCTTGGATTCCACCAGTCATTTTATAACATACCTGAAATTGAATTATTCTTTCTTGAGAAAGGCACAAGTACATTCTTTCTGTATCCTTAAGGTAAAATGCACATTTGTGGAGTTGTGATACAGGGTCGTCTGCATCCAGTAATGCTGTCTGCTTATCAACTTTTCTAATTATCTGTAGTATTTCAACAATTTAAAAAAAGCGAGTCATCCATATGCAGTTTTTATTTTGTACATTGTCACAGTCCACAGAAGACACTACATAACAATCTATCAGTCATTTGTCTTACACCTACATGTTAAAAAACATTTCTAAGCAATAAGGATAGGAATAAAAAAATCATTACAAATTTTATAAACATATTATAATGTGGAAATCACCCCTTCAAAGAATTCAGTAAAAAATAGGGCAGGCAGTCATTTGTTGTCTAGACTAGTGCTTCTCAAACATTAATATACACATAAATCATCTGGAGTTCTTGACTAAAAATGCCTAACCCACCATGACTCCTTTGGGGCTCAATACTCTGCATTTTTAACAAATTGGTGTTGTGAATGCTGCTAAGGGACAGAAGTATTCTCACTGTCAGGTTCTAGTGATCTTTACAATAATATACAAATTTAATACCACAAGGAAACATCTTCAGTAGGCTACTGTTGAGTGTGCTAGTCAGAGACAGACATATTGTGGCAGAATCAAATTATTTATTAACGTATTTCAAAACAAACTCACCCATTAGAAAATGGGCTCAGAGAAGTGGCAAAGTCCTTAAAATCCCCATGTTACTAGCTGAGAGAAGCGAGCAGGAACCCAAAGCAGGCTGTCTGCTCACCTCCCATTACACTCTCTAACTTTTATAATCTAGATCAGTGCCTCCCAACCTTCCTAGTGCTCTGACCCTTTAGTACAGTGCCTTGCATTGTGGTGACCTGACCTCCAACCATAAAATTACTTCCGTTGCTATTTCATAACTGTAATTTTGCCAGTGTTATGAACTGTAATGTAAATAGCTGATATGTGACCCCCCAAAGAGGCCACACCACACAGGTTGAGAACCACTGTCCTATAACCTTCTATCTCAAAGTTTCCATTGTTAACTGCTTTCCAAGGCCATCAAGAACCTCCAGACAGGTGACCCTCATGCATTTCTTCTCCACAGTAATTCATAGCCTCTGAAGCACCTGACTGGGACATTTTCCTAGGGCCACATCTACTCTAACAGACCTTTTATAGTGCCATTACATAAGTCACACCTAGTTAACATCTCCACTTATGATATTTAAGATGCATCTTAAACAGCGTTCTAGAAAGCAGAATTCTGGAATTTTTTTCAACTTAAGGGAAAAATGTCTTTATAGTTTCACAACCTAATGAACAGAAAGGCCTAAATCCTGTGCATTGTTCCTAAAGCAAGAAATACCAACTCTACCTAATTTTAAACAAATGTCTTAATCAAGTGGACTAATAAAAATTATGCTTGTATTTCTAGGCTTTTGAAAATTTGGCCCTACATTCAGATACAGCACATAACACACACAAACATTAAAGAAAAAAAAAAAAAGACAGACATACAACCAAAAAGGAAACCGACACCAAATTCATTTTAAAAAGCGTAGGAGACTGACATCAGCAACACACTTGTAACAGACTAATTCTCTAAGAGCACTTATGAATTGAGACAATGGCTAATAGGGAATAATCAGGACATTACATTTCCACACTAGACAGTATAAAAACTGAACTACATTTTTCTATCTGTCCTGGTTTGTTTCTTCCTCATATTCAGTAAAGTAAAGCCAAGTCTTACCAATCTTGGGAGTGCCATGCCAGTAACTGAGCACACAAGTTTGACAGTCTGTCCATAGTGGATGTAACCATCTCGGACTGTGAACTCCTCTCCTTCTGATTCATCGTCATCCACTATAGTGGGTGCAAAAATAGACAAAATTGCTATCTTTTAAAATTTATTATATATTCTTAAGAAAACAATAAAATGACTATATTCATACATTTTATGCCCCCAAAGAGGAGACTATTACTTCACACTAAAAACATCAAGTGCACATTCTTATACTCACAGAGATGAATATAAAATGCTCCCCACTGCTGTGAACTAGCATGGAAGTTTCCCCCTTCTACGTGCAGGTATCTGGTACTAACTGTCTGGGACCGAAGTCGATTAAACAAAGCCACCTTTGTTCCTGAGGCAATGCACACTGGAAAGACAAGGGGAGTCCGTGTTATACGACTGGGGCAGAGGTTCACCAAGCAAAGGATTGCTGCTTGGCAAATTATGAATATTCTTACAGTAATACAAATATGAACAGATTCTGGTAGCAAATATTTTATTTAGCCTTCTAAGACAGGAGGGAGGGAGGGAGGGAGGGAGGGAGGGAGGGAGGGAGGGAGGGAGGGAGGAAGCAAACAAGGTTTATTTCTTCATAAAATATTATCAAGAAAATGACATAAGCCGGGCAGTGGTGGCGCATGCCTTTAACCCCAGCACTCAGGAGGAAGAGGCAGGTGGATCTCTGTGAGTTTGAGGCCAGCCTGGTCTTCAGAGTGAGTTCCAGGACAGCCAAGGCTACACAGAGAAACCCTGTCTTGAAAAATCAAAAGTTAATGATATAAAATGTTTTTAAATGTTTTCTTGTTCTGGGTTTTTTCCCCCCAAGACAGGGTTTCATCTAACCCTGTGAAATATGTGTCAAAAGGTCTCTAGAAGGATGCTTACCAAAGAAGACAGCCAGTGCTAGTGAATTATGATTTTAGGGGATTCTGCTATCTCCCAAATACCACAAAGTGTTGTACTGTATGAAAAACAGTACTTGTCTTATAATTTATAAGATGAGTAAAATTTAAAAATAAAGATGTACTTTAGATGTGAAAAGCACATCTACTTAAAAATATTCTAAACGTGAAATATGCTCTTTATATCACAAAACTATCAATACAAACTCATAATTAAAGAACTTAAAAAAATAAAAAAGAGAACAACAAAACCCCTCAAACCAAAACCCCAACACTCTGCAATCTGAACTGGAAAGAAACTGCCTGAATTCAAGACAAGATGTCAGAGATGACTGGTACACAAGAACATATGGCCATCAATGAGGCAAGCTCAAATGCGACCATGGCAAACATGTCCTCTTGAACAAACTTCAGAGAGCTCCTCCCAGCATTCCTTTTTTCAGTTTTCATCTCAGCGCCCCTCACCACCTTCCAGATCAGGTTGCAGAAAATCAGTCATGCCCTTCCCTTGACATGGGTCACCCTGGCTGTCATTAGCAGGACTCCTATTAAGTTGTTTTAGTAAAACTCCCCTATCCTTCGTTTCTTTTTCTGGAACTTGCCTTTGTGAGACTGAAAGTGAACGTGACCCTGAACTAAGCCTCTTCCCCTGAAACAGTACTTAATGACGTCTTTCTTTCCATTTTTCACTAGTATTCAGTTGTTTCTTCTGAACATTACCAATTTATAGAACATACATTGAACTACACCAGAAGAATGAACTTAACAAATCTGAATGCAGAAATTCCTAATGCCTAAGGTTAACTGCATGGGAACATAGATTAAAGAATACCCACGTAGATGCCAATCTTGTCTATATATTGTAACATCCAGGTAATTTGAGTTTTGACTCATCTGGTTAAAAATTCAATTATTTTATTTTTTTTGTTTTTTTGTTTTTTCAAGACAGGGTTTCGCTGTATAGCTTTGGAACCTATCCTGAAATTTGTTTTGTAGACCAGGCTGGCCTCAAACTCACAGAGATCCACCTGCCTCTGCTCCTGAGTGCTGAGATTAAAGGCATGCGCCACCACTGCCTGGTCCAAACTTCAATTACTTTAGACCACTCGAAATTTGACAATAACAGGACATTAGATGATATTAGAAGCACTTCTGCCTATGCTTGCTTTGTACATTTTTTTTTTTTTTTTAGCGCTCTACCACTGAGCTAAATTCCCAACCCCCATTATTTTCTCATGATCACCGGTGGCGAACAAGATGCCGATGGCTGTGGGTCCCTACGGGCAGTCCCAGCCCAGCTGCTTCGCCCGTGTGAAGATGGCCTTTGTCATGGGTTGTGCCCTGGGCATGGCGGCTGGGGCACTGTTCGGCACCTTCTCCTGTCTCAGGATCAGAATGAGGTGTCGAGAGCTGATGGATGGCATTGGGAAAACCATGATGCAGAGTGGCGGCACCTTTGGTACATTCATAGCCATTGGAATGGGCATATGATGCTGATCAGGGCAGTGACTGCCTGCATCTATATTTTCCCATCCATTTTGACCCTTGTACAATAATAAAGTTTTTCTTCTCAGGAAAAAAAAATTATCTTTTGTAGTCACACAATACTTACGTAAGAAGCAAATGTCTGAGATGACATCAAATAAAAGAGTAAGATGAAAGCAGACTGAAGTGGAAGAATGAATTATGATGAAATAAGACTGGCTTGAAATTAAGGTCACTAATGAAGTTAGGATTTCCACTTATTATTCTGTCTTATTATTTATAATAATGTATTATTTCCATTTAGTATTCTGTAACTCTGTTTGCTTTAGTGTGTCTGGAATTTTCCATATTAAATAAATGATAGGAATAAAGACTGAATGGAGTAAAATATATATGACATAAAAATCCATTAAGTTTTTATGCTCGATTTTAAAGGCAGAGAAATGATCTTTTCTAAAAACCATTGGCCGTTATCAAATACTATTAATCTGCAAATTAGTAAACAATCAATTGTTTATCAAATGTCAAATAGTTGTTATGCTGAAGTTCTTCACTGAAAACCCCTTCATCTAAATATATGGAAGTTATATAAAAGAATTAGAAAATCAGTATTTTGTATACCTTGATGAAGTAACAGTCACTAAACCACTGGTTTACAGGTTTCTGAAGAGCCTTAGGAGTAAATTAAACAAATTGCTGAACTTACTAGTCTTAGTGTGACAAAAAGAAGGGGAAACCAGATCCTCTACGATTTCTAAGCCAATGAGAATGACCAGCTAATTTAAAAATCTTTAATCACCAGTCTATAGAAAAACTGAGGCAGAGAAACAAGGGACAGGTCAAATCCAGAGTATGGAAATTCCACAGGATTTAAAATGCCCCAGCTTCTTCAATAAGTAACGTATATCAAAGGGGGCAGGGAGAGAAGACTAGGAAAACTATCACAAATTAAAACTTATGGTCCTTATTTAATTCTATGTTTGAACAAGCCAACTATAAATGGAAAAAAACGTAACAATAAAACAATTATAGAAAAAAGACATTGCTGAGACACTATGAATATTAAATGACATTAAAAGATTGTCAACTTTGTGAGATATTGTGGTGATATATTGTGCACCCCAATAAAACTTATCTGGGTCAGAGGACAGAGCTAGCCACTAGATTAGACATAGAGGCCAGACAGTGGTGGCACATACCCTTAATCCTATCACTTGGGAGGCAGAGATACATCTGGATCTCTGAGTTCAAGGCCACACTGGAAACAGAGTCAGGCAGTGGTGGCACAGGCCTTTAATCCCAGCACTTGAGATCTCATGCCTTTGTCTGGAAAGTACACACGTCTTTAACCCCAGGAAAAGGCTGGGTGGAGAACAGTATATAAAGCATGAAGAGACAGGAACTAAGCAGCTGTTCAACTGAGACCCTCAGGGGTGAGGACTCAAGAGGCTTTCAGTCTGAGGATTTGTGGAAACAGGATCGGCTGAGGAGTCGGCCAGGTGAGGTTGGCTGTGGCTTGTTCTGTTTCTCTGATCTTCCTGCTTTCACCCCAATATCTGGCTCCGGGTTTTTGTTTTTGTTTTTTTTTAAAATTAATAAGATCTTTTAAGATTTGTGTTACAAGATATGCTTAAAAAAAAAAAAGACAAAAGCCACGCATTAAGAGTCACTATTACAGAAACCTCAACTGAAAGGACAGACAGGCAGCTGGAGAGTTACAAGAAAATATCCCGGCTGTTAGAAAGGGAAGAGGGTTGCCAGGCAGTGGTGGCCACGTCTTTAATCCCAGCACTCGGGAGGCAGAGGCAGGCAGATCTTTGTGAGTTCAAGGCCAGCCTGGTCTACAGAGCGAGATCCAGGAAAGGCGCAAAGCTACCCAGAGAAACCCTGTCTCGAAAAAACAAAAAAATTAAAATTAAAAAAAAAAAATGTAGAAAGGGAAGAGGTTCTGCTGGTGACCGACCACCAAACAGAATTGGTGACATTACTGAGGTTGTGGTGATTGCTGCATCATGCTATTTTCTTTTTTTTTTGGTTTTTCGAGACAGGGTTTCTCTGTGTAGCTTTGCGCCTTTCCTGGTACTCGCTTTGGAGACCAGGCTGGCCTCGAACTCACAGAGATCCGCCTGCCTCTGCCTCCCGAGTGCTGGGATTAAAGGCGTGCGCCACCACCGCCCGGCGCTATTTTCTTTTTATATCAACTTCAAACTTGACACAACAAAAACTAAAAGAAGCCAGCCAACCAATTTCAAATGTGTTGAAATGCAGACTCACACAGACGGTACATAGCCTTGGTAGGTGAACAATCTGCCAGTGAGCTAGTCGTCTGTGCTATGGAGACCTTTAGCCATTTGGTTTAGTGTCTTACCTGGCTTTCCAGAGCACACTATGTGTTCTGAAATGAAAACTTGTCATTCTGGAAGGACAGATTCTTTTGGAACGGAAATTACCTTAGGTGTTGTAGGACATTTAGCATCACTGGCCCACAGGGTCAGGTGCTTACCATTTATTTTCCCTCCCAGTCACTGTGACAAAAGGAGAAAATTCCCTCCATATCCCTGGAACAGTAAAAATAACCACTCTAAGGTAATCCTAAAGAAGGAACTGAGATTCTCGGAACACTAACTGAGAATGAATCACTTCATTAGGCCAGACACTACTTATTTACACTTAAATTTGAAACACAGCAAGGCCAAGAAAAATAGTAGTAAACAATGACGTAGCTCCTGACAGAAGAACCTTGAAGTTTCAAAGTTTGTCTTGTTAATGTGATGTGAGAATTGGGAACAAAGAAGGAAACTCAAGCATACATACAGTCAGCATTTTTCAATGACTGCTTCTTTTTGGAAGGTTTAGAGATGACTTTTATCCGCTTGCTGAGGAACACGCCAATATCATCGCTGTTGCCATAGAACATCTTTACAGACAGCATGAAGTGTTTTCTCTTGTCTGAATCAGATATGTACAATGTTTTGGCTGTGCAGTAGTTCTGCAAAAGACAAGAAAAGCGGTGTTAATAGCAGCAAACACTTAGGGTTATGCATCTTCAGCTCAGAATGGTGTTGCTACATTTGACCCAGCATGAATGGTATCACTCTGATAGATCACCCAATAAACTGTTAACATTGCCTCTAAAGAGAAATCTTTGAGACATTTTCAAGACAAACAATGGGAAAGGATATGCTCATGAAAGGTGAGCCTCTTCTGAAGACAGAGGTCAGCAAGGACAGACCAAACTCGGCTTAGGTGCCAAGAGGAGGAAGCTTAATCCAGACAGCTGGACTTGAGTCCAGTGTCTCCTAGACTCTTCTGGAGCTGGACATGAAGGTAGATCTCAGTGTTCAGCTGTGGGAGCTGAATATTATAGCCATTAACAAACCTGTCCTCAGCATGGTTAGAACACTATTATATCTATCATTCCTGTTCCTCAACTCAAGTCCACCTAGTACAGGAAGCAGAGGGAAAGCAGTGCCTAAATCAACTCAAAAAAAGCTGCACAAAAAATAAGCCAAGTATCTAGGAGGTAAGCTCTGGCAGCTGTGGACAAAGAAAGCGGTGCTTGAGGTCTTGGTCTTCCAAGTGTAACTGTGGGTGAGAATCCAGGAGGGTGGATGTGGTTGGCTCCTACAGGTCCATCTGGACCAAGAGCTGGAGAACACACAACATAGGCCAAGACTCTTCCACATATCTACAATAAACACGCTTATCACAAAGGCATTCTACAACAATGGCATTAATTTGAATACCTCAAGTTTTAGTTATATACAAAATTGACTACAACATTTACTCTAAAAAAAAAAAAAATCAAAAAAATCCCCTATGATCCATATTTACTTTCTTTAAAGTCTTTGTTTTATATAGCTTCACATGTTTCACAGACTCAACATTCAATGTTACAGCAATTATTAGATTTTTGTACTTAAAAACAACTGATGATTACCTGCAAGAAAAGTAATAAGGCTAACACAATTTAGTAGAATTATGTAAAAAAAACTTTGGTTACAGTTTTCAAACTAGCTCATACAATGCTTCTTTTTCTATGACTGAATGCTGTGGTAACAGGGCTAGACTAAATGGGAGCATTAAATATCTTAGGTATCTTCAAGAATATACTAAAGAATTATTTTAAAAATAGATAAATTTAGCCAAGCGGTGGTGGTGCATGTCTTTAATCCCAGCACTCGGGAGGCAGAGGCAAGTGGATCTCTGTGAGTTTGAGGCCAGTCTGGTCTACAGCAGGTTCCAGGACAGGCTCCAAAGCTACACAGAGAAACCCTGTCTCAAAAATACAAAAACAAAGTTTGTTTATCATACCATTACCAAAAGAACCAAGTTTAAAGGTATAAGAGAAAACACTCACTTGCAGAAAAGCAGCAGTACTTTGAAATGCTACTGCTTCACCTGTATATAATGGATCTAAAACTCTCTATTCCCTTGATCACTGTGAACTGTGGGGGCCCAGGCCAAAATAGTGACCCTCCTTAACCAAACTGAGTAAATGATGTCCAAAACTTATTTCAACTACTTCTGCTATGTGCTCCTTTTAAAATGTGCACCTTTTAAAACAAGTACCACTCACCAGAAAGTAATTATTGAATTCTAGGCTTTTATCCTTAAAATTTACTAATATGTACTGTTAGTAGCAGATAAAAATACTGCAGGGCGGTGGTGGCTCACGCCTTTAATCCCAGCACTCGGGAGGCAGAGGCAGGTGGATCTCTGTGAGTTCGAGGCCAGCCTGGACTACCAAGTGAGTTCCAGGAAAGGCGCAAAGCTACACAAAGAAACCCTGTCTTGAAAAACCAAAAAAACAAACAAACAAAAAAAAAAAAAAAAAAAAAAAAAAACTGCAACAGTTTGTCTCTATTAGAAAATTTAAATGTGATACTAAATATTCTAAATTTTGAAAGGAAGGCCTTGCTGTGTAAAAGACAAAATCAGACAACAGTACCAACAGCAAACTACAATAGCCCTTTGCAGTGGTTCTCTTATGTACTGAGATATGGCATCTTTGGGTACATACACAGGCCCACCGTAGTTTTTAAATACTAGCTAAAGGTTAAACCTGGAACTGTTCAACTTTGGAACATAGGATAAAGTCAATGTGCCAAAGCAGATCATCACAGAACAAAAATGAGATGTGGATGTAAACAACGCAGCTATATCCTCGTGAGAAGGCCTAAGAAAAGGACACTTAATTTTGAGTGCTAACGTGATGGGGTTTAATCTCCATCAAGAAATAGAAGATACTGTCTAGCATAAATAGAACAGGTGAACAAAAGTTGGTGAGATAGCTCAGTGAGGAAAGGCACTTGCTGCCAAGCCTTCACAGCACCCTGGTCCTTCATGGTAAAAGCAGAAAACAGATGGACTCCTTTGCGCAGTCCTTTAGCTCCTCACACGCACATGTGTGCTTCCATCCTACCAATGTCCAGGACTTGTGTAACAAGGTCTAATATAGGACAGAAGGAAGGTCTTCATGCTGAGGCAGCCCCGGGGGAGTTTAGTATCAGTATCCCAGGGGAAACAATCAATGATGCTATTGGTTGGTTGGTTTAGTATTATCTTACTGGAAGGGAAAATGATTGAAAGCTAGAACTGATGACAATGAGAATGAAGTTCAAGCAACACAGTTATACATACTGGTAGCTAGACTAAATGTGATTAAGAATGCTAGCTCACCACCCTCAACATCATAGGCCATCCTAGCCTAATGTCAAATAGAAAACATAAACACCACGCTAGCCAACAAAGAGCTACTAAATAAGGAACACCTTTTATATGAACTTAAGATACCAGGTAGTCACTGGGATCAGAACCATTTCCTAAATATTAAGGGGAAATAGTGAACATTAGGAAAAAAAATTACCTTCCCTTCCAAGTTCAGCTGCTGCATTTCTTGGTCACTATTTCCTATTCCAATAAATGCACAAGGTTGAGACTCTTGTTCCGAGCAACCATCTCGTTCCATTTGTTCTTTTTTTTTCTTCCAACCACTGCCCATAAGATACACACAAGGAGGAGGGCAAAAAAAGCTTTAAAAAAAGAGGGGTGGGAGGAGAGAATTAAATTCAAGATCATAGTTCATTTTTTTAACATATGAATTCAAGATCATACTTCAATGTACTATGTTCGTTCCTAACAAAGCATTTTGGTGAAGTCATCTATAAAGCAAATCATGTCAAAAGGAATGAAATAAAGATTTTCTTATCTGTTCTAATAAAATCGGAGAGTTATACCTTCAGTTAGATCAGTCTTGCTTTAAGCAGCTTACCTTTGAATTCTCACAGCTCAAGGCTCTGAGCTACTCTATTGGAATTTGGCAATTGCAAGAAACAAAGCACAACAGATCACCACAGAATCTGTGATTACTAATTAAGTTCAAGTCAAGACAACAGCATCATTAATTTTAATGCTATTCTCAGTATATTACATTTAACTTTATTTGGCAACTCACCTGAAAAATAGCATTAAGGCAATACCTCAAGTGAGGAAACTAAGAAAAAAGAGAAAATAGGCTACTTGATATGAGCTCTACAACTCGTCCATGTTTTATGTATCTTAGCCTGAACACCTAGTATGTATAACTGGGAAACATCTTGAACCAAAAGAACAAATACACTGTATTCTTTCAGCTCATGACTACTAACAGATTTGTTCTGCTGTGTGCCAAAAAAGAAAAAAAAAAAAAAAAACAGCTTCCCAAGTTCCTTCCACATAAAATGACTTTGTCTTAACCTAACCATCAAAATGCTGAGTTCAAACTATGAATTCATCCCTTATGTAGAGCATAATGTACGTGCTCAATGACATGTAATGTACTTTTGCCTAGTGATACCCACTGACATGTACATACTTTAAAACATTGTGTCCTGTCTCTTTAAGGTGCCTGAACACTCAAATGACTATAGTAGCTAGGCAAATAGCATAAATGAATGAACCAGGTATATAATTAACAGGCAGGAATATCTTTTACCCAAAAAACTAGCTTCTTTCCCCTTTTTCTTAAAACAAAAGGCCCTCATGGTAATTCCTACTTTTTGTAGTTATGAAGTCAGAAAAATATTTGATTCTGCTAATTTCACTATAAGCAAAACAGCCTAACTGTAACAATAATCAACTACCTGTGCCAAGCTTTAATGATAAGAAAGCAGGTGGACATGCACCTATTCACGCTACTGAACTAGCAGTACATGGGCCTCCTACTGGTCAATGACATCTTCCAGTCAATTGATACTGGAAATCAAATTTTACCTGAAACTCAGACTAAAGAAAATAAATTATGTGGCTGGGTGAACACAGTGGCACACACCTTTAATCCAGGAGGCAGAGACAGGCAGATCTCTGTGAGTTCAAGGCCAGCTTGGTCTATCTACATAGTGAGTTCCAGGACAACTAGAGCTATATAGTGAGACCCTGCCTCAAACCAAAACAAAAAACCAAACAAAACTAAAATCAAAACAAAACAAACAAACAAACTAAAAAAGAAAAAAGTATGTGCCTATGCATACAGTTTCAGGTCGTTTGGGGGATAAGCAGTTTGCTTCCTCTTGAGCAAATCAACAATAGCATGTAGTGAGCAGACTCCAAATGTGCACTGGTACCTTTTATCAACTCTAATCAGATGGTAATTGACACACGTATCTTACAAGAATTGAGCTGAGATTATTCAGTATCTATTAGTTCTACAAATTACTTATTCTATCCTCCAGGTACCAGAAATACAGTAATAAAAATAAACAAAATCAAACAAAGTTCCTACCACTATGGAACTTATACTCTAATAGGAGAGAGACAAGAAAAACAAATGGGTTTAAGAGGCCAGCCTGGACTACCAAGTGAGTTCCAGGAAAGGCGCAAAGCTACACAGAGAAACCCTGTCTCGAAAAACCAAAAAAAAAAAAAAAAAAAAAAAAAATAGAGACTCTGTTAGCTAGCAATACACACTTAGAAAAACAAAGTCAGGATAGGTGCCTACAATGTGGACTGCCTGAGGTGGCTACGGAAAACTTCCCTAAAGGAAAGAAAGCAGAAATACTGAAGCAGTGGCTGGTTAGAAGAAGGGGATCAACCAGAGAGAGGAAGCCAGGGCAAATAAAGGTTGAATAGATCAAGTGTATCTTGGAGAGGAAACAGTGTGGAGTAGAGCAGAAGGCCTCTGCAGTGTTTCTGTAATATCTAATTAACCAACACGAAACAAGAGGAGCTTTCATGCTCATACTTAAGACCATATAGCAAGGTCACAGCCAAGGTACTGGGCCCAGGTCCATGTCACTTTAAGTCTGAAGGGATGCCTATACTGGCTGGGCATGTTTTAGAATGGGTTCAATTTATGTCTAGACCAGGGATCTTTCAGGCCTTGAATGGCACTGGTTCCCAAATGCATAGCTTGATATATCTCATATACCTAGGCTAATGCACTCTCAGGAACTTCATCCCATGTTAGTATTTTATTGGACACTGATTATTAAAAGCTCCTTGGTGAATTGACATTTTCAAATGTGAATGACTATGCTTTTAGAGAATATACCAAATGTAGTAGTCAAATTTCAATGAATCACCACAAAGTGTACTTTTATTTCACATCTGAAGACTATATGCACAGTGAAAAGATAAAGGAATGGTACACTGAAATGATAAAAGAGTGAGTGTTCTAGGTATTCACGATAGCACTGTAACAAAATACAGAAACTAATGGCAAAAATTAGTCAAACAAGCCGGGCACCTAGTACTTGGGAGGCAGAGGGAAGCAGATCTCTGTGAGTTCAAGGCCAGCCTGATCTACAAAGTGAGTTCCAGAACATCAGAGAAACCCTGCCTCGAAAAAATAAAAAACAACAACAAATAAAACAAACCAAAATTAGTCAAACAGACTAAAAGTTCTTCTTATAAAACACTAATCAAAACCAGGCATGGGGACTACTGTGGTTTGAATAGGAATGTCCCCCATAGGACTCATGTGTCTGAATACTTGGCCCATAGGGAGTGGCATTATTAGGAGGTAGTATGTCAACTGTGGGTCTTATATGCTCAAGCTATGCCAAGGGTGGCACAGAGTCTCCTTCTGCTGCCTGTGGATCAAGATGTAGAACTGTTGAGTTTGAGGCCAGCCTGGTCTACAAAGCGGATGCCAGGACTGTTACACAGAGAAACCCTGTCTCGAAACACACACACACACACACACACACACACACACACACACACACACACACACACACACACACACAGTAGAACTCTCAGCTCCTCGAGCACCATGTCTGCCTGCCTGCTGCCATGCTTCTTACCATGACAAAAATGGACTAAACCTCTGAAATTGTAAGCCAGCCCCAATTAAATGTTTTTCTTTATAATAGTTGCTGTGGTCATGGTGTCTCTTCACAGCAAAAGAAACCCTAAGACAGTGGTCCATGCCTTTAATCCGAGCACTCACAGGCAGAGGCAGACAGATCTGTGAGTTTGAGGCCAGCCTGGTCTATGTAATGAGTTCCAGAACAGCACAACCAAGGCTATAGAGAGACCCTGTCTCAAAACAAAAAACCCCCCAAAACAACAAACAACCCCCCCAAAAAACCTGATCAAGATTCTACCTTGAAAGTTTTTCAAGCATACAATAAATAAGAAAAGTGAAGACTCTTACAATAGCCTGTGAGCTATTCCTGTTTATTTTTCTATAACCACTAGAATTATTCAAAATAACTAACAAAAGAAAATAAATTTGGGGTTAGGGATTTAGCTCAGTGGTAGAGTGCTTGCTAGGCTAGGCCCTGGGTTTTTTGTAAGATGCAGGTGAAATCACACCTTTAATGTCCCCAAACTGTCATTCCTAAAAGTATATTAACTAAAACTTTATTTCCACACAGCTCAGTAGTAACACAATAATCAGATGAAATATAAACATATACACAAATATGAAGATAAAGGAAATTAAAGGGAGTGAGAAATAAATGCCCAAATAGCTAACCGAAGAAAAATTAAGGTGCATTTTTGTGTTTGAAACTGACTTTTAACAGCTGCTATAAAATGAATCCTGCAAAACAATGTGGTCTTTCTTTTTCTTTCTCTTTTTTAGCATCTCTCAATTGACAAGCAATGCTATTTTTTCCCACTTGGTGGCGATATGTACACATTTAAGGTTTTACTCCTTTTAAGATTTAACAAATTTATTCCCGCAAATCCTGAGAACACACAAGGGAAGAAAAAAAACTATAGGTTCAAAAAAGGGCTTTTATTTAACTTAGTATGACAAGTAAGCTTGGTTAGACAAAACCCAAACTCGTCACTGACATCATCTGACCATCTATCTATCTGGGAGCTCATGACACAGGTTACTCCAGTTAGCACAGTCCTTAGTGTGACTTGAGAATCACTGTCTAAGTGTCTAGTTAGTAACTGTCCCCAGAGCACCTCTCTAGTATAACTGGTTGCTCACCAGGAAACAACACTGAATATTAATATCATATTAGTATCAAAAGGTAAATTAACACAGCCTGTAGAGAAAACAATCTTACTAGAAAGTTTCATCTTTTAAGAACCATACTGACTTAATGAAAAAGTAAAACAGATGACTACCATCAATGGGTGGACTAAATATGAAGCACAAATGCTAATACAAAGAATAATTGAAGCTTTTTAAATGAAATTTCCTGGCCAGATTTTTTTTAGCATTAGTCACTAGAATTATTTTTTATGACAGAGACATGGCCAAAGTGTCTGTGGTCGTGTCCCCAGGTTACCTCATGCCTTAGTAACTCTTTAAAAGATCAGCAAGGAAGACAGACCTTCCTCCTTCTTTCCAGAGTGGAGACCAGACCATCATCACCTCTTTTAATCCACAAGAAAACCTCAGCAGAACTAGCTAGGAACAGGAGGGCCTTAGCACGCCTTACACACACACACACACACACACACACACACACACACACACACACACACACCTTACACACACAAAGCAAGCCACTAGGGTTCTTCCTGTATGGCAAAGTAGCATGTTTACCTTGGAAACATTAACAATACACATGATTCAAAAGATATTGGA